CCCTAGCTGGTTTGGCTCAGCGGACAGAGTGTCAGCTGTGGACCAAAGGGTCCCACATTTGATTCTGGTCAAGGGCACATACCTTGGTTGCAAGCTCCTCCCGGGAAGGCAACCAGTGTGTTTCTCTCATATTGATGTTTCTCTCTGTCTTTTCCTCTCTCTTCCACTTTCCCTAAAAATCAATGGAAAAATATCCATTTTGAGGATTAAAAGAAAACAAAACAAAAAAGGAGAAATAAGGACTCACTAGTCACCTAAGAGATCATTTTAGTGTCTTTAGTTTAAGAGTGATCAAGAACTTACCATTTCTGCAGCCTATATTGTCATTGTATATCTTACTCATTTTGAACTAAATTTTACACTACCAAATTCCTAATTAATGAATTTAAGCTAAAATAATGAACCTTTAAATTATAATATCTGTCAAAAAGAATTTGTAGGAAAAACACACCAAAAACAGAATGTAAAACACATTTAAGTAACGCCTATTCTCTGTAGTTCTTTCACCTGTCTAACCTAACAAAAACCATTCATATTCATTTAAATTGATTACTATGGATAGCATTTTGATATATACCCTCCTAGACTTGTCTGTGTCCATTCAGAGAAGGGTATGTGTTGGACTTCTCTGAGTGAAAAAGAACCAAAAGAACTTCTTGGTATTGATCAGTTTTCTTAATTAGCTCCTTTATGGTTTCTGGACTAATATGCTTTAACTATTATTTGAGGGATTGTTTATTAGCAATAGTAACTTAGCAAGCATTTGTTGAACACCTAATATGTGCTGTAGTGCTATTCTAAAGTCTTTTTATATTAAGTAATACTAATATGTAAGGCCTTCACAGTTTAACTATGGTTTGTTTGGAAAAATGTTGCCTATCTCTGATGATAGATTGCAAAGCATGGCAAGCCCTAAAAATGGACCCAGAGCCATTTGACTATCACATACCACTGCAGACAGCTGTTTGTCTCCTCTGCTTCTCAGAACTCATTTGTTCATCATTCAGCAAACGTTTGAGTATTACCATGTGCCAGGGATTATGCTAGGCTCCACTATTAGTTGTTCCGGAACTTAATGCTTCTTTGGCAGTATTCACAAATGCCTGCTTAACTGGTAGTAAGATGTTATCTTTAAACCATCCATGTCCTTAACTTCTTGGAAAACAACCAGATTGAGAAGTACAAAAGAGTGCTTGAGCATTAAGGAAAATATCTCAATATCTCATATACTATGCTCCGAAAGTGCAGGTCTGTTGGCTTAATAAAATTGACTTATTGAACCGGTACCACTCTCATCCCAGCAACTCTATGGGCCTCACTACTTGCAGCATAACACTAGTCTCCTCTTAAATAACTAAGGAGCTGAAGTGAACATCTTCAGCTCCATCTCAGCAGACACCTTATGTTCAGAAGAGAAGTCACTCCTCTTGGTTTTCTTCCTTTGAACTATCGGCAGTGTAACATGGGAATGTACTTCTGAAACCACTAGTAGAATGGGAGGTAGAAGGAGACATGGTTCCATAAGAATCAACTTCTCAGGAATATAGAAAATGTTTAATAATGTGACTTAATAAAAACTTGATGGAATTAATATGAACCACACTTTTTAATTTAAAACTTGTAACATTTATATATCTTGCCTACCAGGGTAAAGTTACAAATTAAAATTTTTTTAAAAAATATATATTTTATTGATTTTTTACAGAGAAGAAGGGAGAGGGAGTAGAGAGTTAGAAACATCAGTGAGAGAGAAACATCGATCAGCTGTCTCCTGCTAACCCCCCACTGGGGATGTGCCTGCAACCAAGGTACATGCCCTTGACTGGAATTGAACCTGG